GGTTTAGCCGGGGGCTTCTCTGATGCCGAGGGCTCGATAATGCCGAAGGCTCATGTTTTTCGCCGTTTTCTCCCAGTAGCCTCTTATGCCAGAGAAAGCTACCCTATGAGGTTTGGGGCCTTCAGCCAAGGAGGCCGAAGGCACCCCAGTGCGTATTCTGGGCCACGTTGAGGCTTGGGCCGCTGCATTTTGGGCCTGAGTTGTTCCCTGGGCTCAATGAACTTGTGTAGGAGAAGTAGGAGTCTATGGGTCGGGGGTTCCTGGGCCATATACTCCATCAGGAGCCCCTCACTCTTTTTGCCGAAAGGTACTTGAGGGAAAAGGAGTAGAAGTGTTGGTTCTTCCGGAGGCTTCATCGTCTGTTTGGGTGCCTTTGTTTGAGAATTTGCCTTCTGCTGATAGCCGAAGTATAACGCTTGTATGAATGCCGGAGCCTCTCCTCAGTCCCTCACATGTCGGGGGTTTTCTGAGGGAGGCGTAAATAATATCTGTATGTGTTGTGATGAAGGCTGTCTCATCATCGTCAGTGGCTTTGTGGAACATTTTTTATTTTAGGCCTCTACCGAAGGGTGCAATGATGCATGTACCCGAGGGCTACATGCACGTGTGATTACCGAGGGGTTTGTCCCAGTCCCCCACTCCTTTAGGCCGAAGGCAAGTTCGGGATGAAGGAGTTATGATGTGTTGGTGCAAACACGAGGGGTGACAATATTGACAAGCTGGGGGCTCATGCTGCCGCAGGCTCGAAGGTGTTTGGTGGAATCCGTTGTCTGAGGGCTGCGGAGAGTGATAACCGGAGGCTATCATTCGAGGGCACCCCAGTGTTGTCGAAGTATAGTCGTTGTAATATAGCCGTTGGAAGGGGAGTCGACGTGGCGTGTAGTCGTTGGTTGAAGGCGGGCGGTGACCATCCATTGGCTGAACCGGCGGCCCGTAATGATGGCCTTTTTAAATTGAAGCCCAGATTTCGAGGCTGGGAGCCTATAAATACCCCAAGCCCGAATTCATATTCCTTGTGCGATATTTGTGATAGCGAAGCTCTGCCCTTTTGTTTTCTAGAGAGAGAAAGCTATGTTCGATCAAACCCCAAGTTTCGAGGTCAGTTCTTCACCCGTTCTTCGCTTTACTAGCATACTTCGCTTTTCTCCCTTAGATCTTGTGTTAGAGGTCTTAGGAGCCTTCGGTAGGAACATTTAGGTAGTCCCCCTCAACCACACTTCTCCTATTCTTCCTTCAGAATCATGTCCTCTCAAAGCGATTCCCAAGATATCTCGGGGGAGCCGTCGGCACAACAGGGAAGCTACTCGGACGTGGAGTCCTCGAGTGCGCAATCCTCGGCGAACAACGATTCAGCGGTTGCCGAGGAAGTTCAAAATAACCTTCGCACTGAGCTGGAGGCGGAGGAGTTCGAGCAGGTTGTCGAAGATGAAGAAATGGCCCTCGCCCTCCAAGTAGCTGAGGAAGAAGAAGAGAAGGAGAGACAAGAGGTCACAATTGCTGTCCTCCCGCTTCGCGGTGCCGGCGAAGCGAGCACCTCCCGGCCACTAGATCCAGAACCCCTCAGCGTTGCCGTGGGGAAGAAGAGGAAGAAGACGAAGGTTTCTCAGAAGAAGAAGAAGCAACCTGCCGCAGATTGTGGGAAGCCTGTGGGGATCCCCGAGGGACACTCTTGGTTGAATACAGCCGCCCTCGCGCTTAGGTCGAGGGCTGACCGGGCAGAGTGCTACGTTACTCAGCTGCATGTGGGCCCTTCGGCGGAGGTGATTGAACCGGGGCCCAACGATCTCCTCTCCCAGGCTCCCGAAGGATGCTTCGTCGTCCATGTGCTATCAGTCGCCATGGGCCTTCGGTTCCCATTGCACCCATTTCTTCTTGAGTACCTCAGGTACGTGGGGTTAGCCCCCTGTCAGCTAACCCCGAACAGCCATTCCTACATCACTGGGTTTCTGCAACTCTGCCGGTCCCGGGGGGTGACTGCGAGCCTCGACCTCTTCTTCCAGAGTTTCAACCTTTGCCGGGGGGGGGCACACCAATTCCGAGGGGTTCGCAAATTTGCAGCAGATTGCCCCGTGGAGGCTTTTTGACGACGTGCCCTCGTCTCACAAAGGATGGAAGGACCGCTTCTGCTATGTCAAGATGGCAGAAAATCCGTTCCCGGGGGAGTTGCGCAATCACTTCAAGAGGCACCCGAAGGTGGGAAATGCCGTACTTCAGAAGGACGGGAAGAAGATTGCCGCTCTGCCACCGGGGGCCACAAAGCATGTGACCGTTAAGGATTCCACTCTCCCCGAAGACTTGCTGGCCCTAGGCTTCCGTCGGTACCGTTTTTTGGGCGAGAAGGATGAACAATACCCAGTCCTTGAGAGAGCCTTCGGTGGCAATGGAGGTAGTTACCGGAGGGTCCGCTTTATTGTACTTAGGATATTTGCATGTTCTTACTTCCCTTCCCCCGTCGTTTGAACCCTTCGGTCTGACCTCGTTGTTTGTTTTGCAGGTGTTAGCATGGATGTCTCCAGCTTTGCTGCTCTGAAGAGGAAGCTGGCTAAGGAGCCGAAGAAGAAGGAGACGGGGACTCAGAGACCCGTCGATGAATTCTTCCGGAAGGATGGGGCTGCTCAGGTCCCGGAGGGTGAGGGACCCTCCCAAGTTGTTGATACCGGCGCTGGTGCCGGGGGCTCCAAAGCGGAGCACAAGAGGAAAAACACCGGGAAGGGCGTGATGCCTCCGGAGAAGAAGAAGAAGAAGAAGAAGGGGGGCCCCGAGAAGACGGACGCCCCCGTTGTCGTTGTCGAAGAGCACTCTTCCTCCTCCCCCTCAGGAAATGTCCTTCCTCCTCCCGGGGGCCAAGATAACAGCCTGGCTTGGCCCCGGGATGATGTGCAGTTCTCTATCACCAAGGGAACTGCCATCATGCATGGCACCCTCAACCCGAGGGAATTCCTGAAGGGTGCCACGCCCCCGACTGACAAGTCGGTGCTGTCGAGGGCCAAGGATGATGCCCTCAGCGCCAAGGTGCTCCAAGCCTCTGTCACCGTAAGTCTTTCGCTTAGCTTCTGTTTACTTGGTGGTCTTGGCGTATATTTTTTTTTTACTTTACCAAACTGATCATTGTTGTATGACGGTTTTGATCTGCAGGCCGCCCTCGGTCTTGGAGAGCTGCTCCAGAGGATGGAGCAATATCAGGCGCAGAAGCGCCAGGCTGATGAGGCCCTGGCGGAGTCCCGGCGGCAACTTCAGGAAGCCCAAGAGACCCTCCGGCTGGAGAAGATGGCGTTCAATAGCATTCTCGAAAATAACAAAGTGATTGCCAGAGCCGAGGGGAAGGCCGACGCAGAGAGGGCCGCTGCCGAAGCCGCCAAGGTTGCCGCCGAGGAGGCCGAGGCAGCCAAGAAGGAAGCCGTCGCCGAGGCTGAGAAGAACGCCGTCGCCGCCTTTGTCGCTGAGGGCTGGAGGACCGAAGACCGGGAAGGATGGGTGGCCTCGGTCATAGAGCAGGGGGTGGAGGCCTGGGTAAAAGGTCCTGGCGCCGAATGGTTAGCCCGAAAGGGCAAAGACTATTATGATGGTGGCGAGTTTTTCACTCAAAACCTCATCTACCGGAGGCTCGCCAGGCACCTTAAGATTGATCCGAAGAAATTTGACCCGTCGGCATATGGCCTCCCCCCACTGCAGCCTGATGTGAGAGTCCCACTCCCCGATGGCGTAGAGAGGCCGGATCTTGAAGATTCCGAGCTGATGCAAGAGGGTGGTGGCGAGGAAGTCGAGGACGACGCTGCTTCCAAGACGAAGGGTGATGTGGGTGAAGAAGCTCAACCTTGAAGCTCTTTAAGTTCAAATTTTGTAATAGTCCGTAGGTCCCGGCTTCGGCCATGTCTTGTAATGAAACACATTTTTGTATTTTGACAACTTTCCATGTTGAATGGATGATATTCCCCCGGGCTCTTTCATATGAATGCCTCCTTTATTTTGAATTAGAATGTATGCCTTTGCCTTACTTCCTTTTGTTTGTATGCTCTCCCTTCTTTGAATGAATGCATGTGTTCCCGGAGGCCACAAGTTTGTGGACTTAGAAAATTTTTCTAAGTGTAACTCCTTGCTAGCCCCCGGTTGTAGTGTAGTATCGCCGGGGGGTCGCTGTTGTGGACTTTTGTCAAGACCCTTCGGATGTAGTGCAAAAACCTCGGTAAATAATCTAAGTAAAACTTCCGGGCCCCCGGAAATGCTGAAGCGATAAAACCGAGGGCATAAAATGAATTAGACTTAGGAAATTTTTGAAGTGAAATTGTATCTCATGCCCCCGGATATACTGAGCCTTCGTTTCGTAGTGTAGCTTTAGGTCATTGCCAAGTAGATTAGGGGGGCCATCGGCTGTACGAAGGTTGGTGAAGATAGTATCCCGGTTTGCCCCCGAAGGCCCCCCCCATTGTGGACTTAGGCATTTTTCAACCAAGTTTCAATAAATGTTGTAGTGACCCTTCGATCGAGGGGATTGTTTGAGCCCCCTGTTCACATAGTTGTCGAGGGGTTCAAGGTTATGGACTCACGTGTAGGCCTTGGTTTGTAGCATAGAATCAGGACCCCTCGGATGTAGTGTAGGATAACTGGAGGGTTGTTGTTGTTATGGACTTAGTCAGATTTCTTCAAATTTTCAACAGACATTGTTGTGAGCCCCCAGATGAAGGAGTTTTATGAATCTTCTGCGGTTGTGGGCATCCTGACTTGTTCCACCGATCCGAGGGCATGCCTTCGGTTGCGTAATAAGCTTTATAAGGGGGATCCTTCGGCACAAAATTTACTGCTTAGTCAAAATTTGGACTTAGCCAAATTTTGGTGAAGTTCTGTTGGTGGGGCCCCTTCCTGGGCTTCCGGGGAAACTGTTGTACTCCAAGGCTTCACTTAGTGAAGCCTTCGGCTATGTAACCAGATGTCTTGTTGTTGAGAGATTTTGTTGCGCCTTTGTAGGAGCCTTCGGGAATATATATCCGAAGTGTTGAGCCTCCGGGGAGAATAGTATCCGGGGAGTTCCTTCCCCCCTACGCATCTTTTTTTTTCTTTTTTTTTTTTTTTTTAGATGGTGTAGGAGAGGCATCTAGAAACTTGGTTTCTAGGGAAGGCTTGGCCTATATGGGAGCCAACGGAATAAACCGTTGGCTCCCCCTTCGGGAATGACCTTCCGATATCCCGAAGGGTTTGAGGGTCGTTTCCTCGGCCCGAGACATCGTCTGTTGCCTGCTTCCCCTTGGGAGATAGCACGGAAAGCGCCTCGGTTTTGAAAGTCGTCCCCTCAGCCCGAGACATGGTCTGTTGCCTGCTTCCCCTTGGGGGATAGCGCGGGGAGCGTTTCGTTTGTGGAAGTCGAATCCTGGGCCCGGGACATGGTCCGTTGCCTGCCTCCCCTTGGGGGATGGCGCGGAAAGCGTTCCTGGGAAGGGTTTTATTTGTGTGTGGGACACAAATAGCCGGGGGCACTTGGTGCCAGCCGGAGCCGAGGGATGGAGCACTCCCCCGGTTTTTTTTTTTTTTTTTTTGGAGAGTATGTAAAGTATGCGTAATGCATGATTGCGTCCTCGTGGGGTACGGCTTAGTGAGAAAACACTTGGTGTTTTCAAGAGAGGAAGGGGCCTTGGGCCTATTTTGGTGAAGAGATGAGGGTTTGGCCACTCATTTATAGGAGAGAAGGGGGCCTTGGGCCGCTTGTACAGTATGTAGGTGATGAAGGCTTGGCCTTTTGATTATTCTTCAAAAACAGATGGGGCCTTGGGTCATTGATATTTACACTTGCTGAGGATGAGGGCTTGGCCGCTCACGTTTTATTGATAGAATTTGACAAGGTGGTGCACATTCCAATGTCTAGGGACCTCCGTCCCATTTGGGCGTTTAAGCTTGTATGTCCCTGGTTTGATGATGGCTGAGATGACGTAGGGGCCTTCAAACTTGGGCGCCATTTTTCCTCCTTCGGTGGGTAGGCTGGCCTCCCTTCGTCGGAGGACGTAGTCACCCACCTGAAATTCCCGGGAGCGGACCTTGGCGTCGATGTAGCCTTTGACTTGTCTCCTATAGTTTTCGGCCCTGAGAAAAGCTTGCTCTCGGCGTTCCGAGATGAGATGAAGGTCGAGGGCCATGTTGGCATCGTTGACTTCGGGTTCATATTGTTCAACCCTTCGGGTGGGCAGAGTTACTTCTGTTGGAGCCTTAGCCTCAAAGCCATAGCATAGGGAGAAGGGTGTTTCCCCTGTCGCACGCCGAGGGGTGGTACGGTAGGCCCATAGAATGTTGTGGAGTTCTTCTACCCAGCCTCCCCCTTCGGCTTCCAGCTTCTTTTTCAACCCTTCGAGGAGAGTGCGGTTGGAATTTTCTACTTGTCCGTTGCCCTGAGGGTAGGCAACGGAAGAGAATGTGTGCTTGATGCCCCAAGCCTCAAGGAGGGACAGAAGGGGGCTGCCTCGAATTGAGTCCCGTTGTCGGAGATAATTTGTTGGGGGACGCCAAACCTTGTGAGAATATTTTTGAGAACGAAGTGGCGGCACCGGGCCTCAGTGATGCTGGCGAGGGGCTCGGCCTCTACCCATTTGGTAAAGTAGTCAATGGCCACAATGATATACCTGTTGTTGGAGGTACCCCTCGGCAGAGGGCCTACTAAGTCAATCCCCCATCTGGAGAAGGGTATAGCGGTACTGATGGGGGCATAGTTGACCGCTGGTCTGCCAGGGGCCTTCTGAAAGTGTTGGCAAGCGGTGCACCTTCGGGATAGATCAGCACAATCTCTAGCCATCGTGGGCCAGAAGTAGCCTTGAACTATGAGCCTTCGGGACATGGAGAAGGGTCCCTGGTGGGCTGAGCAAGTGCCACTGTGCACTTCCTCCATAGCGACTTCGGCTTCATCTTGATGAAGGCACCGAAGGAGGGTTCCGTTGTAAGATCTTTTGTAAAGCCTCCCATTCTCGAGGGTGTAGCTAGGAGCCCTCAGCTTTGCTAACTTGGCGCGGGCCTCGTTCTGGGGCAGTTGCCCTGTGTTGATGAAGGCGATGATGTCGGAGATCCAATCCTCCGGCCTCAGGTTAATGTTCATGACGGGGCTCGCGTGGATGCTTGAGAGGATGAGTTCCTCAATTCTTGCAATTTTTGAGAGGTGTTCGGGGGATTCATCCGAAAGCTTGGATAGAATGTCGGCCTCGGAGTTTTGAGCCCTCGGTATTTGGGTGAGAGAATGTGCCTCAAACACCTTGAGCAACTCCTTAGCCGCTTCTTTGTATTGCTTCATCCTTCCTTCCTTGGCCTCGTACTCCCCGGAGATTTGGCCCACGACAAGCTTGGAGTCACACTTGACGTGGATCATCTTGGCCCTCAGATTTGCTGCCAGCCGAAGGCCACAGAGGAGGGCTTCGTACTCGGCCTCGTTGTTGGAGACTTTGAAGGAGAAGCGGATGGCATAATATGCGCGGAATCCCTCGGGTGTGATCAGGACTACTCCCCCTCCGCATGCTTTGGTGGCTGAGGAGCCATCGGTGTAGAGGGTCCACCATTCGTCAAGGGGTGCCGAAGGCTCCCCGTCAGTTGCTGATCTCGCGGTGCATTCCGTTACGAAGTCCGCCAGGGCTTGGCCCTTAATGGCAGGCCTCGGACGGATATCTATGTTGTACTGACTGAGGAAGATGGCCCATTTCACCATTCGGGAGGAACTTGTGGGGCTTCTCATGAGGGCGCCGAGGGGTTGATGAGTGAGCACTTGGACCGGATGAGCTTGAAAGTAGTGGCCAAGCTTCTTGACGGTCCAAACGATGGCTAGCACCGTCTTCTCGACGGGAGAATACCTGAGTTCGGCTTCCCGGAGGGTTTTGCTGACGTAGAAGATGGCGTGTTGGACGCCGTCCTCCTCTCGGATCAGCACCGAGCTGATGGCCGAAGGGCTAACACCAAGATATAAGTATAAAGTCTCCCCCACCTTTGGTTTGGAGAGCACTGGGGGAGAAGAGAGGTATTTCTTGAGTTCGTCAAAGGCCTCTTGACATTCAGATGTCCATTGAAAACCCGCTGTCTTCCTCATGATTTGGAAGAAGGGGAGGACCCTCTCAGCTGACTTGGAGAGGAAACGGTTGAGGGCCGCCAGGCGACCCGTCAACCGTTGAACTTCTTTGACGTTGCGTGGAGGCTCCATATTGATGATGGCCTGAATTTTCTCGGGGTTGGCCTCGATACCCCTTCGGCTTACCATGTAGCCCAAGAATTTTCCACCTTGTACGCCGAAGGTGCATTTTTTTGGATTCAACCGGAGGTTGAATTTTTGCATGATGGCGAAGATTTCCTGGAGGTCCTCGGCGTGAGTGCCGGCCTTCTTGCTCTTGACAATCATATCGTCAACATAGGCCTCCATAGTGCGCCCCAAGACAGCTTGAAAGACTCTGGCCACCATTCGGGTGTAGGTGGCGCCTGAATTCTTGAGGCCGAAGGCCATCACAAGATAACAGAAGATGCCTTCGGGTGTCATGAAGGCAGTTTTTTCAGCGTCTTCCTCGTGCATGTAGATTTGATGATATCCGCGGAATGCGTCGAGGAATGACATAATCTCGCATCCCGCGGTCTCATCCACAAGTTGATCAATGTTCGGCAGAGGGAAGGGGTCCATAGGGCACGCCTTATTCAGATCTGTGTAGTCCACGCACATGCGGAAGGTAGGAGGCTTCTGTGCGAGGACTACGTTTGCCAACCAAGAAGGGTATTTCACCTCCTTAATGTGCTTGATGGAGAGGAGCATAGACACCTCTTTCTTCACGAACTCCCTTCTCTCGGCCGAGAGGGGTCTTCTCCGTTGCTGTACCGGTTTGGCCGAAGGGTCTACCGCCAGGCGGTGGGTGATAACCCTTCGGTCAATTCCTGGCATATCCTCCGGCCCCCATGCAAAAACAATGGAGTAGGCGCAGAGGGTTTTGGTGATGTCAGCCTTCAGGTCTTCGGGGAGCTTGGCTCCAATCTTCAGGACTCTCTCCGGCTTGGCCGGATCGAGTATCAAGTCTTCGGTTTCCTCGGCAGGCTCAGCCCTCGGCCTACCTTCTTCCTCCTCCAAGGCCCTGGTGGTGATGGTGTCAACTCGAAACTCAGTTTTACTAACCTTCTTGGTAAGTTGAAGGTAGCAGGCCCTGGAGAGTTTCTGATTCCCCCTCGAATAGCCGATGCCGGTGGGTGTGGGGAATTTGAGGCAGAGGTGTCTCATGGAGATGATGGCTTCTAAGTCCTCGAGGGCAGGCCGGCCGAGGATGATGTTGTGCGCGCAGTCGAGGTTGACGACGACGAATTCCACTTCGAGCTTGGCTCTATGGGACCCGTCGCCGAATTCAACTACGAGGGTGATGACGCCTTCGGCGTCTATGCTATCCCCCGTGAATCCGGAGAGGGGGGTGTTTATGTGCCGAAGGGACCCCCTGTCGAGTCCCAACTCTTGAAAAGTACTAAGATACATGACGTTGACAGAACTCCCCGTGTCGACATAAGTCCGGTGGATGATGGCGTCATTGATCTCAGTGCGGATGACGAGGGCATCCCTATGCGGCAGAGAACCCGAGGGGAGGTCCGCGTCTGTGAAGAAGATGGGTTCCCCCCTCGGCCTCTTAGTCGGGGGCGTCTGGCTGACCTCTCCAACGTAAAGGGATTGAGCCCACTTCTTTCGCTGACTGGTGGAGTCTCCACCAGTGTTGCCACCATTAATCATGTGGACGTGGCGCTTGTATTGTTGATGGGAGCCTTCTCCCTCATCATCGAGGCCCCCAATTTCTCGCTTCTTTCCCTGTGGGTTTCCCAAGGGGATGGTGTTGGGGTTCACCCACTTGTTGGCCTTCGGCGGAGGCCCTTGATGGTGGAGGGGGCCCTGGGGAGGAGGGCCCCTGATAAATTGAGACAAGTGGCCCGCCTGTATCAGCCTCTCAATTGCGTTTTTCAGCTGATGGCAATCGTCGGTTTTGTGTCCGTGGTGGCGGTGGAAGCGGCAATAGGGCTCATCAGGACCGATGGCATAAATCTCGAGGGGTGTACGGGAGTCTCGCTCCACTAGCCCTCGCTCTTCCGCGTGATCCAAGATGACGCTGACGGGGTGTGTAAGGGGAGTGCGTGGATGCTCAAGGAGGACGGGGTTGCGCCCATGCCTTTGGATTGTTCTTGTAACCGCCCCCGGGTCTGGCTTGGCCACCCCGGGAGCGATCGTTGTACTGCGCCTCTCGGTTGGCCGGAGGGGGAGGCCCTCCGGGCCGATTCCTGCCTTCATTCTTCTGGGAAGGATCCGTGTTGCGGCGGTCCTTCTCGATTTCCTCCGCTTCAGCATATCGGTCCCCCCGCTGAAGGGCCTTCGTATAATCGCGGGGGGGATCAGTGATAAGGCTCCGGGAGAAGTTACCGTTGCGGAGGACGGTGTGGAAGAGGGCCATCAGGGTTCTGTCATCGGCGCCCTCGACCTCGAGGGAGGCCTGCCTCCAGCGTTCTAGGAAACTCCGAAGGGTTTCCTCCTTCTGCTGC